GCATCACCATCAGGCTAATGCATTGACCATGCCCTCGGATCGATCTGGTTTGATCTCGGCGAGACGGTCATCGTCGAGTTCTCGAACACCGGTGTTGCTTCTACGCATATGCTTCGATTGCTCCCATGAACTGTTACGACGTCTCCAATCGCTCCCTTTACAACATCTCCAATCGCTCCCACCTACACCTCCCGCATTACCATGACTTCTCTCATGTTAACTAAGCCAATCCATGTTGGGCTTTTTCCCTCTAGATAAACAATTTGTGACCTTCAAACAACCTGACTTATGATATCATTTGTTAGAATAATCCAAGGGGCATATCAATCTATCGAGAATTGAGCAATTACACTAAACACGATATAAGGATTTGTTAACGAGATTCATCGAACATGGGTTAATTCGAGTATGGACCTTTTTCCCGTTGATACCATGGTAATGCCACATACTGGTCGCCAGACCATCCACACATGCCGCGCAGAGGCTACCCTATGCACTGTGCTATTATATTGGCAGTATTATACAAGCTTGACATGCGGACGTGTGAAGCTATATTACTACAGGTAAGCATGCATGTCTTGATGTATTTTAGAAGTTCTTAATAGTTCTCTTTTCTTATTTTGAATGCAAATACCTAACTAAACACTAATAAAATTCTTTGTTGACAGCAATATATGCTTTACAGTAGTATATATTTTGTATATTGAAGTCCTAGATAGAAAAGTAGAGTAGGCACAAATCCTCCACAAAAGGCAGAATGTATATGAGAAAAAGATCGATTGAACTTTTCAATGGACTCATTCCATGAGTAAACGATTGCATGGTATTCGCTTGGGCAACAAAATCAAGTCTTGGACCCCTTTTCTCTCTTATTGAATTAACCAATTCATTTCCTTTTTTACTTTTGGATTTTTTATTTGATTTGGCATTATTCAACAATAAGAAAAGAAAATGGAGAAGGAAGTCCAGATGGAGAGTTAACTGGTCACCATAGGATCAACGTCACAAATCTTACACGATACAATCAATGGCGAAACGAGCAATCTAGCATGCTTCGGCAGCTGCCATACCTTGAGCTCTTTTTTCTTTCCCCTCTCGTAAAGCGACCAGGACTTGATTTCGTTGCCCCACGCGAATCCCATTCAATCGTTTACTCATGGAATGAGTCCGTTGGAAAGCCCTGCATAGAACTGGCTGGTTTTGGGAACTTCCAGAAGGGTCCTAACCGATTCAGGTATGGTTTTTCCTCCTTCTTTTTTTACTCTTCCTGTGGTTCCTTTTATCGGATTTTTTCTTCATCTTTCATATTTTTCTTCCTTTTCCTCCTTTTTTTTGAAGAAAGTTCCATTTCAAAAAATTGTTCAGTAATTTTCAAGAACTGTTTGGAATTTAAAAATGTTCATATTTTTATAAAAAGTTTGGGAAATTTGAAATAATGTTTGGAATATAATAAAAAATCGGTTTTAAAAATTATTCACAAATTCAAAAAATGTTCATATTTTTTGTAAATGTTTGTGTTTTAGAAAATTATACAATATTTCAAAAAAAATCCTGTTTACCAAAAATCAGAAATTCAAAAGATGTTTGTGTTTCCAAAAAGGGTTTGAAATCTTTTTAAAAAATTGCATCTAAAAAAAGGTTCGGAAATTTCAAAAGATGTGTGCATTTCCAAAATATGTTGACAAATTAAAAATTGTGTAATTTTTGAAAAGGGTTTACGCTTTCATTAAAAAACATAATTTTGAAAAAAGTTGATTGTCTAAGAAAACATTTTGGATTTTTTATAAAAGTGTTTGCTTGTTTAAAAGTTTGTACTACCTCCGTCCCACAATATAAGAGTGTTTTTTGACACTACACCGGTGTAAAAGACGCTCTTATATTATACTTCCTCCGTTTCTAAATATTTGTCTTTCTGGATATTTCAATAACAAGTGACTACATACGGAGCAAAATGAGTGAATCTCACTCTAAAATATGTCTATATACATCCGTATGTGATACTCCATTTAAAATATCTAGAAAGACAAATATTTAGGAACGGGGGAAGTAATAGGACGGAGGGAGTAGTTTTCAATAAATGTTTGAAATTTATAAAAGTGACAAGAGATGCTACAGTGGCCGATTCGCTACTATGGATCGGCTTGGTACAGTGTCCAGTCCGGTGTAGTGAACCGGCTCGCTACAGTGCGTGGGTTTGCCACGGTGCTTTGCGTCTTCCATGGGTTAGCCCAGTAGGGAGCGTGCATGTGCGACGCGACATCTGTTGTGACGCAACATGATTTTTTTTATTGATAGTAATTAGTACTGCAGCAATTAGAAAATTGATAATTGGTGGGCCAAAATTTAAGAAATATGAAGGACGCTATGTACAACGGCGTCCAGGCTGGTCGCATTGTGAATGACGTCTATATCTGGACGCTATTATAGACAGCGTCCAGTTATGTGGTTCGGTCAGGTGCTCTTATTTAACTATACTGAAAGTATCTCCTCTAATAGATTTAATATGTGAGTTTCTGGATATTTTGTGATGGTTGTAAGGTATCGATAACAAATCACTGAAACACCCATTTATACCATTCTAGCACAGTTTGCTTTTGCCAAATTAGACGTAAAATCATCTTACAACACTTGAACGTATGTATTTCTAACTCATTAGCTACCAAAACTGTCGCAAGCAAGTCTAGTTGTGCACCTGTGACTTAATTGATTTCTGGGCTGCCTTGAGGGCGAAAGCCTCCAGCAATTTAATCATGGACAGTGTGCTCCGGAACACTCCTTTGCAACTAAGAAAACAACCCGAGTGGTGAGCTAGTCAAGAGACCTCCCATTTTTCCCCTCTCCCTTATGGGTCTCTCCCTCGAGCTACCGGAGGCTAACCCTAGCCATCGTCATTGGGGTTCCCCCTCCCCCTCTCCCTCCTCCCTAGTTGTTGCCAAAAGGCATGTTCACCTCGTCAGCGTAGGCGGCGGCGGGGATGTTTTCTCTTCCATGCACAGGAGGTCGGGCGCGGGCCAGTTCGGGCAGGCATGGACGCCGCGTTGGACAACGGGCGCGGCGGTGCACCGAAGCGGCCACGGACGGTGTCGTGGCAGCGGTGTGACGGTTGGCGGGCGGCTCGGGCTGCTGGGCGCGGGCTACAAATGGCTACTCCTGCCATGGGCATACAGGCGGCATGGTGTCCGGTGTTCGGCAACCAATGGCCGTCTCGGAGGCAGAGAGTGCATGCCAGAGGGTAATCATTGTATGGTTTGCGCAAGGCCGGCGACGGCGGCAGCCGTGGACGTCGTTACCTTCCTGAAGGCGGCGTTGTGGGTACAAGTCGAAGGCCGGAGGTATCCAGACGGGGTCTGGTCGAACCAAACAGTGGACGCTGTTTATAAGAGCGTCCAGACTTGGACGTTGTTGGTACTGGCGTCCAGCCTTGGACGCTGTTATTCCTAGCGTCCTTCCTATTTTCCAAATTTCTCATTAATGTTTATTAGTTTCATAATTACTGGAATATTAATTATCAATAATAAAAATTTCGGGACGCAACACGCGTCACATACATACATAAAGGTGCCTGTGGAATTATACTCGTCGTGTATGGTTGGTTTACCACCACTGCACGCTAGGTACTTACTTAGGTAGCCAGCCAGCTTGGGCTATATATACGGTCGGTCCGATACGTGCAAGGTGCAACAACGCACCACAGATCGATCAGTGCAACGAACTCATTTACATACGATCCTAGCTAGAGCTTGGACGAGGATGTGCAACTGCGGTACGGTAGGACCTTCAGCTACGACCGGCAGCTGCACATCCATGTCCAAGCTCTAGCTACGACCGGCAGCTGCACATCCATGTCCAAGCTCTAGCTACGACCGGCATCAGCGACCGGCATGCAGCGGGGCGGCCTGCGGAAGAACAACGACGCCCGGGGGCGCTCTGGATCCGCTTCTTGTGCGCTTTGAAATTGACTGCTCCGTCACTACTTTCCGAGTCACCATTTGTGTTTCAGTGTTTGTTTATTCTGCGTTGTCGTCCATCTAGTGGCTGCGCACTGATCTCTACCTGCTCATCACTACTGTAGCTGCTCCACGCTCGCTAGCGACCCCCGCGCCGCGCGTGTGCCCATGGCGGCGGAGGTCACCCTGCGCCGCTTCGACCTCTCGGACGTCGACGCCATGATGGCATGGGCGTCCGACCCCGAGGTCGCCGCCTTCTGCCGCTGGGAGCCCGGCTACGTGGTCAGGCGGTACCAGTACCAGTACTGGTGCCGCGGGGAACACCCCGTACTGGTCTACTTCTCCCCGCCCCGCGACGCCCTGCTCGCGTTCCTCCGGGGCACCGACCCTCCGCACACCTGGATCCGCGCCGTCTGCCTCGGCTGCGCCATCGTGGGCGCGGTGACCGTGTCGCGCACAGAGGACCGGTGCCGCGCGGAGGTCGGGACCGCGCTGGCGCGCGCGCACCGGGGCAGGGGCACGGCCGCGGCGGCCCTGAGGCTCGCGGCGACCACGGCGTTGGGGGACCTGGAGGGCGTGGAGCGCGTGGAGGCGCTGGTGGACGCGGACGACGCCGCGTCCCGGCGCGCGGTGGAGGACGCCGGGTTCCGCCGCGAGGCCGTGCTGCGGAGCCACCGCGACGCCAGGGACGTGGTCGTCTACAGCCTCATCTCCACCGACGACGACCCACTCATCGACTTACCCAGTTCATGACCTTGTTGGCCGGCTTGTTGCCATGCGATGCTAATAAAAGCGACTCACGCATCATCAACACGATCAAATGTTACCAAGAAAAGAAACCGAATTACATTGCTGTGTTTCACTCTCAGCCACGGATTACAAGAAGAAGGTGGTGCCGCTACTGTTCTGCCGGTCTCTCCAAGAGATCGGAGCTTATGTATGAGAGAACGCACGGGCTCGATTATTGAACTTTTTGTTGAGTTGTGACTTCGACGGGATCCCATGGAGTCGGCGAGAGAGCACGGGCATTGCAGGATGCCGGCCGGCGAGCGATCAGGCCTCCCAGCCGCGGAGGACGGTGGCGCGGGCGACGCGGTTGACGCCGAGGGTGAAGGCGCCCATGCGGAGGTCGCAGTGGTGGGAGCGGCACATCTCCTTGGTGTCCCGGAAGGCGCGGGTCATGTACGTCTTGAGCTCCCGGTTCACCTTCTCCTCGTCCCACATGAACCCCTGGATGTTCTGCACCCACTCGAAGTAGCTCACCGTCACGCCGCCCGAGTTGGCCAGGATGTCCGGCAGGATCAGCACCCCCTTCTTCGCCAGAATCTGCACCACGAACATGTACATTTCTCCACTGTCAGTCAGTGTGTGAGTTGAATTATGACAACAAATGCGAGCTTTGTTTTGTGGCAAAATTTTGGGTGTTCTTGCCTCGTCGGCCTCGGGGTCTGTCGGGTGGTTCGCGGCCTCGATGATGTACTTTGCTTTGATGCCATCCGCATTGTCCCTGGAAGAAGAATAAATCATGGTCAAGACAATATGTTGTTTCATTTACAAAAATGCTTTCAGATGTAGAAAAAGGAAAACAACATACTGGAAGATACTATAACTGAACTCAGGGCAGTAATCTGATAGAAAGTAGGATGAGGTGAGCTAGGATGAGGAAGAAGTTTACTTGTTTATGACTCCTCCCAGCGCAGCTGGGATAAGGACGTCGCACTCTTCGGTGAGCAGCGAGGTCGGGTCGACGGCGTCTCCTCCGTCGAAGCCCTTGATCCCACGGTTCTCCGCCGAGTGCTTCATCAGCTTGGCTATGTCAATGCCATTAGAGTTCTTGACAGCCCCTGTGACATCGCTGATGGCGATCACCTTGCCACCAGCTTCAGTGATCAGTTGAGCAGCCCAGGAGCCAACATTACCAAATCCCTGAAAAAGGCAAGCCCAATAATTGCTTACCTCTGCAAATGTAGGTGAAGAAACATAGTTCTAATCTTACTTTCTTTTTAGTAAGAAAAGTTCTGGTCTTACTCCCTTTTGTAACCATAAAGTGCAAAAGTGTGTATTGTGCGATCCACTGACGGTCACTTTTTCCTAGTAAGTATTTCTTAAATCTATGCGTGTAATAGATTGAGGCTTCATGACTCATACCACACTGAATCCTCAGTTCAATTACTTTTCATCATTTTAAATTCAAAGAGCTTGACTCATTAGCCTACACATTATTTAATTACCTGGATCACAAAACGCTGGCCTGCAATGCCTTTGCCATGCTCTGCAAGTAGGGCTTCAGTGGCAAACAGAACTCCCCTTCCAGTAGCTGCATCTCTTCCCAGTGATCCTCCAAGGTCCTGTGTTGAGCAAAAAAGTTCAGGAACATGGCAAGAGGGATAACTACAAACCAGATTTCTCTCAACACTCAAATCCTGCATCTTCCACTTTTCATATAGAAACAACATTTCCGTTGCACATTATACATGATAGAGTTTCAGGATGGATAATTACCACAGGCTTTCCTGTCACCACAGCAGGTGAGTAACCATGGAACTTTGAGTACTCATCCAGAATCCATGCCATTGTCTGAATCCATACAACAAGCAAAAGAATACTCATCAGGATACAGATGGTTAATTCTCACAACACTCTGCAGAGAAATAATAAATATGCAAAGCACAATAAATAACCTGTGCGTTGGTGCCCATGTCAGGAGCCGGAACATCGGTGTGAATGCCAATTAAGTCATGAATTTTCTGGGTGAAAACTCGGGTAAGCCGCTCGAGCTCTGATATGCTCAGGTCTCCAGGACTGCATCCTATGCCACCTTTAGCGCCTCCATATGGAATATTGGCCACGGCTGTTTTCCATGTCATCAGTTGCGCCAAGGCATTGACCTCGTCAGGATCAACCTGAATGTTATCATAGCTTGTCAGTGCAAGAACTTACTATGATCATAGATAATCTTGGTTGCCAGTGTCTTGAACTTGCATGCACATGATCGGTTTTTATGGAAACCAAGTCAGAATGTGATCCAGTATAGTAGCTTTAGTGAGATGTGACTAATTTCCAAAATAGCTATGCTCTGCTTTACTGCAAGTAGACATTGCAATTGCATAACTAGGTATGGGCTGAACAATAAGCCATTCAACTATCTGACAGATTCCTGAAGGAGATCGGATTTATGCTGAAGGACCATTTCAAGTCGGCGGCAGTGCGGCAAAGAATCAAGTGCTTAATGGTTGGTTGTATCATGATGAACAGAAGAACCCAGGAATATATATGTGTGTGTGTGCGCGCTCACCTCATGGTGGTATCTGATTCCACCCTTCATAGGGCCCCTGGCATTGTCATGCTGCACCCTAAACCCAACATAGGATGCTAATGTCCCATCATCTTTAGGAATTGTGCACTCAACCTGCAACCACACAAGAAGCATGTCACTTTCGGTTGAACAGAGGCATGATCCTGCACACAGCTTAACCTTGCAGAGTAAGTGACTACGAGGCCAGTTGAGCAACTTTTTTTGCCATATTCAGCAGGAAAATCACTCAGAATAAATTAACACGGACACCACAAGTGAGGGAATGGGAGAAGACAAATCAAGTGATTGCTCAATGGGGAAAAAAAGTGAAGTAGCACACGAGAAGATATCAAATCCATAAATAATCCAGTAATAACCTAACTGAAAACAGAAAAAATCACGGTCCAGGTGAAAAATAATCCTAGGTCAACTACCCCAGCCCCAAGGGCAAGGAGGGAGAGGAAAAACACGGGCCTATGTGACAGTTCTCAGTAAGCACCGGGCTCCGCAGACCAAGCAGCAGCAATCTGGTAAATCCCTATAGAACGAACGAACAGCAAGCGTAGCCGTCTAGATTCACTGGTTCACAGCGAAGGATAGGAGGCAGGCTGGGATCATCACCTTGATCTCCCTGAAGGGGATGAGCAAGCTCTTCTCGAGCTTGGAGTCGAGGCCCAGCAGCTTGGCCGCCTGCTTGAAGTTCCGGCTGGTGGCCGCCAATGCGTTCATCCTGCTCGACGGAATTCCCCTCCGGAGCCGCCGCGCCTGAAAAACGGATCCAGAAACCCAGCAGCATGAGTAAAATCTGAGGTAGGAAACCAAATCACAGGAGATGAAACGATCAAACTCTGCGCGAGAAACCAAAGGATAATCTCCCGCTTTTATATTACCGAGTAGGAGTAGAGCAGCGGCGAAGTGTTAGCGGTGAGAGCGAGCGTGGGGGAGGCAGCGGCAGAAAGACTATGGAGGAGTTTCAGGTAGGCCGTATGCATATATAGGCACACTGAAACTGAACCCCTTGGTGGATTTGGGTTCCGTTCAAAAAGCAGAGGGGATTTTTTTTATTTTAATTTGTTTTCTTTGTCTCTACCAGGATAAGAACAAGATCTGATTCTCGCCCTGCCTGCAATTAATTTCCCTCGAGACCCGAGCCCTGTCTGTAATCAATACCATAATTAACTACTCGTAGCCTACCAGATCGAAGAGCATCAATCTATGCCAAGGAATCGACCATCTCCCCTTTTGTTTAATAGGAGCTTACTAACATCTACTAGTACAAAAAAGATCACTGTTCTAGGGCCAACATCTGAATGAAGATTCAGACTGCCGACAGCTGTGCTTGTTTCGCTGAGAAAATGCCCAGAATTTGAGCCACAAGTCAGTGGAAGGAGTGTTCAAGGAAGCCTCTGCATCTGCATGTGGCAACTTCAGATTACTACTCAAATCGGTTGTATGTATGTATGTATGCACTGTACTGAGCTGTGCATGTACGGGTTGTACAGCTTGCGCCAGGCAAACTGCTGATACGCTGACGGTGATGAGCATCCATGCACGTGTAACATGTGATCCCTGACACTTCATGCTCACAATACATGTCTGTCAAACAGTACTACTAAATGTAAGGCTTTTTAGAGATTTTAACAGGGACTACGTACAAATGTATATAGACATGTTTTAGGGAGTTGATTCACTCATTTTACTTCGGATGTACTTTGTATCGAAATCTCTAAAAAGGCTTACATTTAAAAACGGAGGGAGTAGTACTTAATTACAGCTAAAGTTAGAGCTTAACAATTTGGTCTAGCAGTTGGGTGAAACCGCTACTGTAGAAATGTGGTGTTTGTACTTTGGCGGCCTGTGAGAGACAGAAATCTCATAAGCAACTTGGCGAAAAAGCACATGGCTGAGTCAGCTGCGATACTCCGTGGAATTATTTGGGTAACCATGCAATTTTGCACTGTCTTGCATAGCACAATCTAATAATTATTGGACACGAAGACACGTGTATCCCATGGATCAGGCGGTTGTTGGAACTCGGATTAGGGCTAATGGTCTGCATAGGATGTGTGAAGCATATGCCATATGCCGTATGTTATTTGTTTATTTGATTGACAACACATATGGCGTATAATAATTTTTGCGTCATATGGTGACAAGAAATATATCATATGCCATGGACAGGGCTGGTATGATAATTAAGCGAACCTATTAGTATGGGTAATGCCGACTTTGGCTCGGGATAAGAGGGCATAAGTTCGAGGAAGATGCATTCGCCGAAAAGTGGGGACGGATTGGGGGAGCAGGACAATCCCAGAGCGGCGAGCAAAATCATGTGGAGAAGAAGAAGAAGCAATACGGATCGAAAGTGGTTTAGCTGCTTTTAGATGCATGGATTCCAGATTATACAAGGCCTGCATTATTATTTGTCCTGTTTTTTGCTATCTCTTTTCTAATGCCCCTAAAAGGAGTGATAAAAGAATCACCCCACTATCAACGCAGATAATGATAATTAAGGCGATACTTTCAGATCAGAGGATAATGAAGGCAAATATTCTCAAAATCAGATCCCGGGTTAGGTAGCCGTAGATGAACAACCCCAATCAAAAGCTTCAGAATATTAGTGCTAGTACAGACTACAGAGTTTTCAGAGCTTGGATAAACCATCAGTAATTGATCTTTCCCTGGCCATGTGATCACTGCTAACACTAGCACGCTGCCATCTAAAGGAAACACAAAAGGAGAGAGGGGATTACTTTCTCGCAGTACCTGATCAGGGTGAGTGAATCGTAGCGGCCGAGGAATTTCGCCCGCGCTGTCTGCTCTGTTGTGGCATGCAGGCAGAGGGTTACAAGGGGTTTTATAGGGTGAAACCGGCTGGGAATGATACACGGAATTAGTTCGGAGATATCGCGAATATGGATCATATTGCTCCAAGGACTTTGGGCGATTCCATCTGCTTGGGTTGAGTTGGCCCTTGGCCGCGTTGCGTTTGCATTGCATCCAATTCCATTTCATTGCTATTTGAGGGCCAAATGGGCAGAGGGTCCACGACCCAAATTCTCAGTCTCATCATTATGTGGAGCTACATAGATTATGTTCGCAAACTGGTGGTAACTATGCTCGGTTGGTTAGGTATCCTGTGCTAGAATCTGCCCATCTGGATTTAAGTCGTATATATACTTGCACAATACTTGCACTCTCAGACAAGTGCTCATATTTTTCTGGATTTATTCCACAAGTTTTTTCGCCATTCTCTAGCGGAAGACAGTTTTGCGCCTTGACTATGAGGTGCCTATGATGAGATTTGCCGGCTCGGTCTCTTGGAGATGAGTGTTTGTATTTCCTGAATTTATTTTGAAATTATCGGCGCTATTCCTTAGTGGGAGACGTTGTGCGCCTTGAGTACAAGGTGCCTATGATGAGATTTGCCGACTCGGTCTCTCAAACTTGCTTGTAGGGAGTGTTTGTGTGTGCTTGTAGTGTGTGTGCATGCTTTCATTGGGGAGTGTACTTATGTGTGAGCATTTGTATTTGCATAGAAAGTGTGTGTGTGTGTGTGTGTGTGTGTGTGTGTGTGTGTGTGTGTGAGAGAGAGAGAGAGAGACACTATGTAGTAAGTTCTTGGGAAATAAGCGTATTTCAGACGCACCTCATCCACTTTGGCTTCCAAATAATGCGTTCAAGAGATGATTATGACAAATCTGGTCCAGAAGATATCCTCCGGGAGAGAGAGAGAGAGAGAGAGCAAATCATCATATGCACGAGCAACCAAAAGCTCCATGTCATGAATTATGACGCGAGACGCATCGTCTTGCATCATCGGTGGAAAACCGTGGAATATGGAACCAATCGCAGGATGCGCCGTGCAAATTGCCGCAATTGGAGTCCAGCGACATGGCCACCCCCCTTCCAGTTGCTTTAGAATTCTTTGATCGTAGATGGATGGATGGCTTGTGTTCGTTTCGTGGACAATGCATAGATTACTACTAGACCTTTACTGTTGTGTCATGGATGTAGCATCATGCTGCATTAGGCCAAAAAAGCACGCCCAAAAGGAAGGTTCTCTCAGCATAAAAGTGTATGTGTTACGTGTGTGGAGATTCCAGCCTTGGTGTGCACCAACTTGTGCGATGAGTCTTCGGTGTCACTCAGGGCATGTACAATGATGGCATATGGATACATATGTCTCATGACAAAAAGTAATTTGAGGCACCTACATTTATTTTTTCTCCCCAATGCAAGCTACCACTAGTGGGCCTAATTATGAAATAGAAAAATAAAGACTCTAGTACACATGCATCTCTACTTTTCACTCCAACCTTTTCAGTTTTTGTCACTGGACCACACTTTTCCTCTTCAAGCACCCGCCTCCTGAAGAGGATCCCGCTTCCCTATCTAAACCTACTTTACGTCATATCCGATCCTACATGGCATGCGAGGCATCACCTGGAGGCTATGCATTGTATATGCCCTCATAAGCCTCCTTTCAGGGTTCATGTTCTTTTGCCAAGATTTGTTAAAAGCTCTGCTTGGGGAGTGCTAACTGGGAAGGAAGCTATCCAGGGATTTCTGGATTTCAAAGGATTTTGAGAGAACAGTAAAATTCCTTGTACATTTCGCAACAAAGGAATGATGATTTCTTTGGAAGTGGAGAATTTTGTAAATAGTTTCATTTCCCCGTACGAAGAGGGAAATATTCCCATGTGTCAACCGGAGATTAAATTGAGATTCAAGCTAGTTCTGACATCACGATAGAAAGATACTTTGATATTGGAGACTGATACTTTTAAACTTTAATATAGTTGTGTGCATCGTAATGATGCAGAGGCCAGGGTGATCCTTCTTTTTCTAAAAATATTTTCTAGAACGAATATTTAAATGTATTTGGCTGTTTTTTCAGAAATGTTATGTTGCTGTTTTTCCCTGTGCGAATTACTGCAAATCCCTCATGGGATTTTTTTTGGGATTAACTACTTTGTTTGCACTTATTTACATAAAACTGCAATGTTATTCTTGTGCGGTTCATTGATTTCCATTTTTCTGAGACCCAGAGAGGACCTGGACTTGATGCACATAGGTGGATGGACTTGCGTGTTGGAGTCAATGCCTACCATTCGGTGTAAAGGGAAAAGGCAGACAGTCATTTCCCAATCTGAATGTTGATTAGGACTACCACTTACAAGAAAAAAAATAACCCTGACCATAACATCTTTCTGTTAGATCTATTTTCGAGTCATCGTGTTAGTGGTGCTCATTTTAATTTAAAACTTAAGGCAGACCACTTGAGCTACAGCAAAGAGGCGGAAATGATAGTCAAAGTTGAAGAAGTGAATGTGACACCTCGAGTTTGCAAGGGCGCGTGACCTCTCGAGTACGCAATAAGCACAAAGATGAAGAAGATGTTAAGGCGGTGGGTTGGTTGAGTGGGCGTCTCCAACGCTATTTCCTAAAACGGACACACTATCCGTCCATGGAGCACGCCCAGACGCATTCACAGACAGGACACGGGAGCCGCACATTCAACTTTGTCCCTCAAATAAACATCAAATCTGGAGATTTACGTAATAATTAACACAACACATCCGCCTCCGGATCGCCTCCCTGGCGACTCCGGGGCGTCCCCAACACCAACCTCTCAGCGCCGCCTCACTAGACCCTCTCGCCGCCGTCGTCGCTCGCCACCCCGGCTGGCCGACAGTGGCTGCCGGCCGCCCCTTCTCGCGCTCCCGAACCCCCATCCCTCCTCCCACCTTACTCCTTTCATGCCCAGATCGGCGCAGTGATGCGGATCTGGTAGGTCGGAGTGGTGTTTTTGTTGGCGCTAGCATTTTCCGCCGCTGCTGCCATGTGCATCCTCTACCGGTCGGCACCAGAATGGTTTGGGAGGTGAGATCCTGCGCATGGCCACCTCCCACAGCAGTTTCCTGGTGCCAATCAGGTGACATCAAGATCTCCCGCGGACTGCTACGACCGGGCACGCGCACGACAACTC